ACAGATGCAGCCCCCCCCCCCCCCCCAATAGCTAGCAATCCAAAAGAGTCCAGTGGAGCCTGAGCAGCGGTGAGTGTTGCCTTCTGACACACTTCTGGTGATGTCAGGGGGTGTGGTATATGCAAATAAGTTATGCTAATGAGCTCCTGCACCTCTTTTTCTACGAAATGACCCCTGTGAAAAGGTGAATAAAATCCGTTAGCAGCTGGTTGCTAAAACAATTGTGTCTGAAATGACACAAAAATTCCGTTAGCAACCAGCTACCAAAATGGATTACAAAGGCTGTCTGAAAGAGGCCCGTGTGTACTTATGATTTCTTATAAGTGAGAATGCAGTGCAGCACACGGTGATCCAGATCTCTCAGCTTAAAAAGTGACTAGACAGATTCAGGGAGGATAGGCCTATCCGTGGCTATTAGTCACGGTGGCTAAAGGGAACCTCCGTGGTCAGAAGCAGTAAACCTCTGAATCTCAGGCAACTTTAGAGCCCTGCCTTTTCATACAAAGCTGCTTTTGTCTGGTTAGCAAAGCATGGTTGAGCCGTTCTTGAGGTTAACTACTTTCTTCCATTTCCATCTCTTCTTTGCATTTCTGAACCTTGTGTAGCGTGCCGTTTGAAATGTCTGCAGTGCTTCCAGTCCCCCCACACACACCCATTTTTGGCATGTGATCTTCCTCGACCTTTTTTTAAATGAAGAGATTGGATTTATACCCCATCCTTCACTCGGAGTCTTAGAGCGGCTTACAAACTCCTTTCCTTTCAACCCTCCCCACAGCAGACACCCCGTGTAGTAGGTGGGGCGGAGAGAGCTCTTTCAAGAACTGCTCTTAAGATAACTGCTCTCAGAGAATTTTGATTGACCCAGCTGCATGTGGAGGAGTGGGGAAATCAAACTCGGTTCTCCAGATTAGAGTCCACCACTCTTAACCACTACACCAAACTAGTTCTTAATGTTGTGAGTTGAATGCTATAGTTGTTACATGAATACTGGAGGAGAAGTAGCTCATTGGGCAGTGGATGCTGCGGGCATTAGTGACTGGTGTTACAGAAGTTGCTAACAACAGCTGCAGTCTCAGTGTGTCTCAATGTTACCGCTGTAGCACTGAAGTGCTATATTGTTCTAGCGCTATAGCGCTCAACTTAGAATGTTAAAAAGAGTTTGCAGAAGTCCGTGCAGCGAAAAAGCACGGCAATGTTTGAAATGGCCAGATCACTTCAGAGACGGCTCATTAACTGAATGAAATTCACTGGTTGAAACCTCTGTCCCTGAATTGCTTTACTCGGAACCAGGCCAGCCATGGATAATATCCGGTTTAGAACGGTAATGTGAAAGGGCCCCTGGTGTCCGGGATCAGAATGTTAAATCGACTGTCTGAGCGTGCTGCTGTTTATGGCCAGGTCAGGTTCTAAGCGAACAAATCTAATATCTGAAATTCGCTTCAGTGCTATGTATCGTTTATGTTCTGTTGTTGCAGGCAGTTATCTGGCAGAAGCACAAGGTATCCGATCATAAAATGGCTTTCATGGCGGTAGTGGGGACAGCTGTTATGGGCAGCATGGTGCCTTTTCAGCACTGCTGTGAAGACCCTGAGGTAAGTGGTGGGTGGGTGTCTCTCTTTCTCTCTGCCCCTCCGTGTAATTTCCCCAATGAAACAAATTTCAGAGTTCTCTGATTCTAATTAATGACTAAAAAAATGAATACTGCTCTTAATAGTGGGATTGCTAATAAAATGTAATATATTATTCCTTTACTACACATGAAATTCACTGCCACAGGAAGTGGTGGCGGCTACAAGTATGGACGGCTTCAAAAGGGAATTAGATAGGCATATGGAGCAGAGGTCCATCAGTGGCTATTAGCCACAAGGTATAGATAGGGGCACTGGGGCAAGTGATGCTCTGTCTTCTTGGTGCTTGGGGGGGTCAACAGTGGGAGGGCTTCTAATGTCCTGGCCCCACTGGTGGACCTCCTGATGGCACTGGTATTTCTGGCCACTGTGTGACACAGAGTGTAGGACTGGATGGGCCTTTAGCCTGATCCAACATTGTTCTTATGTACTACGAATCTATCTTTTGATGGCTGGAAATACACACAGAGAATCAGTTGAGGCCTATTGATGATAGTTTGGTTTGGGTTTTTTAAACAGATTTACTAAGGGTTGAGGCTGTGGCTCGGTGGTAGAGCCACTGCGTTGCATGCAGAATGTCGCAGGTTCATAAACATACCTTTACCATGCAGTCACATGTCGAAGGGGAGCTTGAGGGGAAAAAATGTGCCATCTATGTCTGTGATTGGACTGCTTGTTGAACCACTCGCGGCCTGGGGTTCCATTTGGAGGTGAGGTGATGGGAACAAATTCTTCTCCTTAAGTGAAAGAAAAATCTGGTTCTCCATTTGGATTCTTCTTCACTGCATGGTTAACATAAGAGCATAAGAGAAGCCATGTTGGATCAGGCCAATGACCCATCCAGGTCAACACTCTGTGTCACACAGTGGCCAAAACCCAAGTGCCGTCAGGAGGTCCACCAGCGGGGCCAGAACTCCAGAGGCCCTCCCACTGTTGCCCCCCCCAAGCACCAAGAATTCAGAGCATCACTGCCCCAGACATAAGAATGTAAGAGAAGCCATGTTGAATCAGGCCAATGGCATATCCAGTCCAACACTCTGTGTCACACAGTGGCCAAAACCCAGATGCCATCAGGAAGTCCACCAGCGCGGCCAGAACTCCAGAGGCCCTCCCATATTTGCCCCCTGTGGTAGAACCATCCTGCTCTGGCCATCAGGAGGTCCACCAGCGGGGCCAGAACTCCAGAGGCTCTCCCATATTTGCCCCCTGTGGTAGAACCATCCTGCTCTGGCCATCAGGAGGTCCACCAGCGGGGCCAGAACTCCAGAGGCTCTCCCATATTTGCCCCCTGTGGTAGAACCATCCTGCTCTGGCCATCAGGAGGTCCACCAGCGGGGCCAGAACTCCAGAGGCTCTCCCATATTTGCCCCCTGTGGCAGAACCATCCTGCTCTGGCCCGCAGGCCCTGTTCCGCCCTGCCCTCTTTGGTTTTCCCAACTCCTGGAGGGGCTTTTCGCCTTCTCAGTTCAACTGCCGCCATCACCTGACCTTGGTATGAATGGCCTACTGCGAGGATCAGGACTCCCAGCTTCCATTCCACTTCCTGAGGCTTTGCTTCTGTGTCTCCTGCTACTCGGCGGGAACAGCTTGCTGCCTTGTGCGCCACTAGGGGAGTAGCCACTTGCCAATTGACTGCCCTCCCCTTCCTCCTGGCGCGCATTTTAACATAGTGTGTACGAGACGGTGGAGGTCTGTGTAGCACAGAGAACCACTACTAGGATCAAAGGTTATAAAGCATTTATTAAAAAGCAACTGTTCACAAACGTACTTTTAGCACTGCACCAGACTGAGCAAGGGGTTCAAAAGATAAGGTTAAAACACGGTTCCTCTGTCCCTCTCTCTATACATTTCCTATCTGTTGTTAAGTATAAGGCAGGCTCCTTAGCTTAGAAAGTTACAGGTTTTTACAGAAGTGCCATTACATTCAAGCCTCTTTCAAGTGTGCCGGCCAGCACATGGGCAATGACTGCCTCCACCAGACCTCAGTTAAAAGCTCTGCCTGCCTCAATGCCTGCCTGCACAAAAGACCCCTTCCTTCCTTGCTTCAAGGAGTTTTATCAGATATCTTTTCTTACCTACTGACCAGATCAGGCTGGGTCAAAGAAGCTTTTCCGGAAGTTCTTCTAGTACTTAACACCTCCAAATCGGCTTAGCCAGATAGTTTTTGATGAAAATTTTACAGTGTTTCTTTTATATATATATTCTAGGTGTCTCTCAGTGGTTTCCTTCCAAAGCCTAATTCCGACGCTTCTTTGACAAGCCATTCAAGTTCAGAAAGGAGCTTCATCTTTGTCAACGACAGACCAGTATATCAGAAGGACATTCTCAAGGTATGGCCTTCTCCAGGGGTCATTTCGTAGAAAAAGAGGTGCAGGAGCTCATTAGCATAACTCATTAGCATAACTCAGCATAACTTATTTGCATATGCCACACCCCCTGACATCACCGGAGGTGTGTCAGAAGGCAACACCCGCCGCTCAGGCTCCACTGGACTCTTTTGGATTGCTAGCTGTTGGGGGGGGGGGAACGTGCAGATCTGTCCTCGCAGAGGAGGGAGAGCTTGTACCTGAATAAAACTTGGTCTTAAAGGTGCCACTGGACTGTTTTGGACTGGGGGGCTGGGGGGGGGCTCTGCGGCTTACCTGGCTGCTTCTTGCTCTGACTGAGGGCTGCTGGGAGCAGGGGGTGGGGCTTGTTGCATGTGCCTGCCCCCTGGGCTCTTCACTACCGGAGCTCCGCTCCTGTGCGCTCCTGCAGGAAATGACTCCTGGCCTTCTCAAGTCTGTTTAGTGTAGTGGCTTATAAAGATAGTTAGCTATATAAATCGTTAATTATGAAGTCTCTTTGGCTCCTGGCCATGATTTTTGCTCTCCTAAGCATCTTAAAATTGAGAGAGGCACATTATAAAATAACGGCCTATTGATGATAGTTTGGTTTGGGTTTTTTAACCAGATTTACTAAGGGCTGAGGCTGTGGCTCGGTGGTAGAGCCTCTGCGTTGCATACAGAATGTCGCAGGTTCAATCCCCGGCATCTCCAGTTACAAAGGATCAGGTGGTAGGTGATGGGAGAGGCTACAGCCTGAGGCCCTGGACGGTTTCTGCTCGTCAGGATAGAAAAGATTGACCTTGATAGACCAGTGATTTGACACACTATGAGAAGATAGTGAGTCAGATCACTGGTCTAGTGAGTGATTTGACTCACTAGTAGGTAACTCAAATGAAAATGTCAAGGCAGTGTGCGACTGCAGTAAAAAAGGCCAACGCTATGCTGGGGATTATTAGGAAGGGAACTGAAAACAAATCAGCCAGTATCATCATGCCCCTGTTTAAATCAATGGTGCAACCTCATTTGGAGTACTGTGTACAGTTCTGGTCACCACACCTCAAAAAGGATATTATAGCATTGGAAAAAAGTGCAGAAAAGGGCAACCAGAATGATAAAAGGGTTGGAACACTTTCCCTATGAGGAAAGGTTAAAGCGCTTGGGGCTCTTTAGCTTGAAGAAACGATGTCTGAGGGGTAACATGATCGAGGTTTACAAGATTATGCCTGGGATAGAGCAGGTAGAGAAAGAGGTACTTTTCTCCCTTTCTCACAATACAAGAACTCGTGGGCACTCAATGAAATTGCTGAGCGGTATGGTTAGAACAGATACAAGGAAGTACTTCTTCATCCAAAGAGTGATTCACACATGGAATTCACTGCCACAGGAGGTGGTGGCAGCTTCTAGCGTGGATGGCTTCAAGAGGGAATTAGATAAACATATGGAGCAGAGGTCCATCAGTGGCTATTAGCCACAAGGTATAGATAGGAACTCACAGGCTGGGGCAGGTGATGCATTGTATTCTTGGTCCTTGGGGGGTGGGCAACAGTGGGAGGGCTTCTAGTGTCCTGGCCCCACTGCTGGACCTCCTGATGGCACCTGGTATTTTTGGCCACTGTGTGACAGAGTGTTGGACTAGATGGGCCATTAGCCGGATCCAACATTGGCTTCTCACATGTTCTTATGTTCTTAAAGCTTCACTGTTTGTAATGTAGAGGGCAGATAAGTGTCAAAAAAGGGATGGAGACGGCAGAAGCTAGCCCATTGAAGCCCTGCAGATCAGAGAGCGTGCAGGAAAGGGAGATGTTGGGGTGCAATTCCTTGTGGGCCCCCAGCTCACTTTTTTTTAATGCTCAATGTAAGGATAACAGTTCCCTTGTAACGAATTTTAGTGTTACAGTAGCATTGCCCCTTACCCATCAGTAAGTTTCTGTTATAAAAACGTCACAGCTGTTTAGACCACAGAATGCTGACTTGTCCTTGACAAGAGGATGGTTCTTCTGCAAGATAACGTTGGAATTGGGTTTTTTTGTTGTGTACGCACCGATATATAGCAGACCAGAAAACATGCAATATTTATTTTAATTTATTTTGGGGTTTCCATCCCACCCTCCCCTAAGCGGGGTCAGGGCGGATCGCAACAAATCGAGTCAAAGACTCATTGCAGTAATCACATTAAAATCATTAAAACAATAAAACAGTAGAATTGTTAGCAACAATATAAATCTGTTGGGGCCACAAGGCGGAATGAGAACGGGCCCTTTCAGCGGGTTGGGAACTAAGGCAGGGAGGTCAACTAAGATGGACGCCCACCGCCTCAACCGAAGGCCTGGCGGAACAGCTCTGTTTTTCAGGCCCCGCAGAACGATAGAAGGTCCTGCAGAGCCCTTTTCTCCAATGGGAGCTGATGCCACCAGGCCAGGGCCAGGGCAGATAAGGCTAAGCAGATGTCCTTTGGGCCGGGGGTAGCCAATAAATGTTGGTCCTGTGAGCACGAGGCTCATTGGGGCCCATATGAGAAGAGGCGGTCCTTCAGATGTTACTCTTGTACTCTGTGTATTCCATACTGGAGAGTACCTTTTTCAAGTATCCTTTTTTGTTTATTTTCAGCTGGTTCAGCGTTACTGTAACCTGAAGTCTTCTAATCGTTCGTACCCCGTTTTCTTTATCAACATTACTACTTCTCCATCTGCCGTGGATGTCAATTTAACACCAGATAAAACTCAAGTGTTCCTACACGATAAGGTACGGTGTGTAAACATTATGAGCCTTGTACAGTGGATGCACACCTGAAGACACCTAATGTGGGGGGGGGCGTGGGCACCGTGACACCCACTGACACCTTTTCTGGCCCCTGCCAAGTGTTTTTGGAAGTTGGCATAGCCAGGGGGTGGGGCGGGGCTACTGCCCAGCATGACTTCTGATTAGTATTGGGGATCTGATTGACTGCAGATTAAAATAACGTTTCAGCACAAGTTGTCACCACAGTGTTTGTTTTATTCTCCATCTCCTCTTTTCCAGTACTTTCCCCCTCCAAAAAAATCCCCTTTTGTCCTTTGCATTTGGATTTCCTGTGTGTGTGCACGCGCATGCATGCATCTGCCTCCTGCAGTGGCCATCTTGTGGTTGGCTCCGCCTCCCCAAGCGGCCATTTTGTGGTTGCACTCACCATCCCGTGTCAGAACTCCCAGTGTGTCCACAGGCTCAAAAAGGCTGACCATCCCATCCTTAACATGTTGGAGGTCATTCATTCATAGGCACAAATTTAGAATCCAGTGGCACCTTTGAGACCGACAAAGTTTTAGTCGAGGTATGAGCTTTCGTGTGAAAAAGTGTGCTTTGCACACGAAAGCTCATACCCAGAATAAAACTTTGTTGGTCTTAAAGCTGCCACCGGACTCTAAATTTATTCTACTGCTTTCAGACCAGCACAGTTGACAACCAGCATTAATTCATAGGGTCACCATCAGGGGTCATTTCCCGCAGGAGCACACAGGAGCGGAGCTCCGGCAGTAAAGAGCCCAGGGGGCGGGCACATGCAACAAGCCCCACCCCCTGCTCCCAGCAGCCCTCAGTCAGAGCAAGAAGCAGCCAGGTAAGTTGCAGAGCTCCCCCTGGCCCAAAACAAGACTAAGTTTTATTCAGGTACAAGCTCTCCCTCCTCTGCGAGGACAGAACTGCACGTCCCCCCCCCCCCAATAGCTAGCAATCCAAAACAGCCCAGTGGAGCCTGAGCGGCGGATGATGCCTTCTGACACACTTCCGGTGATGTCAGGGGGTGTTGCATATGCAAATAAGTTATGCTAATGAGCTCCTGCACCTCTTTTTCTACGAAATGACCCCTGGTCACCATAAGTCATAAATGACTTGACAGCACATCACACACACACACACAGGAGTAAATATTACCATAATGAGGATAGTGACAGTTACTGGTTTTAAAAAATAACATTTCCTGTCTGCTGTCGCTTTTTTGTGGCTAAGTTTTTAAAGGTAGCAGAATCGGCTCTGTTTCCTTTGGCGTCTGAGTTGACTTAATGACACGCTAGCTCTTCATCATCCTGCTTCTGGCTTTTCTTTTCAGGAGTCCATTTGCCTAATTATTGAAGATATTTTAACGTCGCTTTATGGGCCTCGAACCGAGGCCCCTTCTTGTGAAAATGATGTAACAGACGCAACCTTGGTAGACATCTTGGCTAATGAACAAGAACAAACAGATGTGCCCGTTAAGGAAATGGAACCCTGCGGGAACCCAGCCCCGCAAGCACGTACCTCGTTGTTTTCGTTTAGTGATGATGTGCGAAATGGGGAAACAGGAAAAAACACAGAGGTCTGTTTGAAGAATCAAACGCCGTATAACGATTCTCCTCCGGATCTCCTTACCGAAAAAGCAGTACCTGGCAGTGAGACAGCTGGCGATGATAGATTTCAGGACCGTTCCCTAAATAATTTACCGTCTGAGGACCAACCGAGCAGGTATAAGGTGCTGAATGCAGATGGCAATTTTTTAAAGGACACTCGTTCTGGAAGTGGCATTGGGGATGATTTGAGAAGTGACAAGATCCCGGAAGAAGATGAGATGGAAAGGCCGAGGATCCCGAATGGTTCCTCTGAAGTCACAGCTGATAAATGGAGTTTGGGGCATGCCTTTGTGAACTCGAGAGGAGAGAACCTGGAACCCGTTCAGATTTTAATTCCTGAAAGAGGAAAGGAAAGAAATCAAAAGGGAAATGATGGTGATGGTCAACTGCATTTTCAACAAGGAAACAACAATCCGGGTACTAAAAAAACAAATGTTGTGAATGATAAAGTGGGACAGGTTACAGCCTACGATTTAATTAAAAATCAGATAGTAAAGAAGCCCATGTCAGCGTTTGACCTTTTTACTCAAGACAGTCGTTCCAGGCTGTTGACGGAAAACCCCAAAGCGAGCACGGAAGAACTGAGGCTGCAAATGGAAGAAACGTGGGAGGCGTTAAACAAAGACGAAAAAAAGAAGTAAGTTTTGCAGACTTCACATCTGTCCGCTTAGGCTGGGCAGTCGTTTCCATCTGTTGTGATTCATTGTGCTCAGAAATAAGTTGTTTCCCAGTTAATTTCAAAAACAGAACGGAAAATACTTTGGCTTGACGGCTGCAATCTGTTGCAGAGGTATTTTATTTCTAATTATCTACTGTTTGCTGATTTATAATGCCTGAGGTTGATCTTTTCCTCTGTTTTCCTGATTAAAATGGTTTTGTCGTCTGCATTAAACAGATTTAACACATTTCTGGTAAACAAACTCAGGTTTTCTTGGCAACTTGCCATTAATTCATACTTTGTTTTTTGAATTTATAATTAGCAATTTCCAGAGAGGCAGTACCTTAAGGGAGTTCAGGCATCGATGAACAATGTAAAAGTATGTCTTATGTAGCTCTGTAATAAACAGGTAAAAGCCTTGTATCCGGATCGTATCCAGAAAGCAACTCACAGTTGCTATAGTAGCAATTAACTAGAAGTTTGCAAAGTTTCTTGGGCAAAGATGGGTATCTTTTCCCTCCAGATCCTCAGCATTCTCTATAGAGAGGCTGGTGTCTAAAGCAACAGGGGTACAAAGAGAAAAGGGGGGGGAAGAGAACCTGTATGCATAGACAAACCCCCCCCCCAATCAGAAGAGCAAGGATACAAATAACTTATTTGCATATGCCACACCGCCTGCCATCACCGGAAGTGTGTCAGAACGCAACATCCACCACTCAGGCTCCACTGGACTGTTTTGGATTGCTAGCTATTGGGGGGACGGACAGACGTGCAGATCTGCCCTCGCAGAGGAGAGAGAGTTTGTACCTAAATAAAACTTGGTCTTAAAGGTGCCACTGGACTGTTTTGGATTGGTAGCTATGGGGGTGGGGGGAATGCGCAGATCTGCCCTCACACAGATCTGTGCAGAGAGAGAGGGAGGGAGAGACGGAAAGAAAGAGAGAAGGAAAGGAGGGAAAGGAAGAAGGAAAAAAGGAGGAAAAGAAAGAAAGAAAAAGAAGGAAAGAAATAGAAGGAAAAAAGGAG